GATGATCTTCCGATTTTCCCTTTCTCTTAGATTTGATGACGTGGCGAAGAAAATTAATCATCTCGTTTTGGAACCAACCATGTCCAATACGACGACAATATATTGCAGTTTTTTCGCCATAAACTGGCTGATGCTTCACCAGTCATAAGTTTGTCATACGTTTGTTCTGCCATGATGAAGTAAGTCTTCTTCGATGACTTCTGCTAAAAGTGAAATGGTTTCTATAGTTTCAGATGCTGGAGTCACGGCATTCAAAATAGTAACAGAGAAAAGTCCTCTGACTTCTCGCCACAGCTTTGCCCATGATCTTTTACTCATTATTCCTTTAGTGCTCGTTTTTGGATGTTATGTAGTTTGTTTGGCTGCAACAGGCAGCCAAAAAAATAAAAAATATTTTTTAAAATGTTAATTGTTAGTCTGTCCCAAAAAATCTTATTAAACCAAAGATGAAGAATTATATATATATATATATATATATATATATATATATATATATATATATATATATATATATGTCGTGCCGAATATGTAATACTGGTCAATTAGAAAGAACTCATTTAAAATTAAGTCCTTTCTAAAATTTTCTCTTATACGTTTAAAGATATATTTTTTTCATTAATGTTGATGTAAAATTTTTTAATTTTGCACCAAAAGAATCTTAGAAAACTTACCTAACCTTATTATAACAAGAACAATTTATTTTAGCCTAACCCAACTAAATATATTTTAGATTTGTTTACAATAATTTAATACTGAACAAATACAGTGAAATATGTTTTTTTCGTTAGGTTCAGAATGATTTTGGCGAAATTATTGCATACACAAATTTTCACTTGTCCTATATGGCAAGATGAGCGTTGCTATTTAAGCCAAGATCGCAAGTTCTGCCTATTCGGCACGACATATATATGTATATATATATATATATATATATATATATATATATATATATATATATATATATATATATATATATATATATATATATATATATATATATATATATATATATATATATATATATATATATATATAATATATAGGGAGGTACCACCTCTAGAACTGTTGTAGGGACCCTCATCCTCAGAGAAAAGAATAAACTTGCTTCAGGGAAAACTCAAGATTCTCCCTGAAGCTGTTTGAGAATATATATATATATATATATATATATATATATATATATATATATATATATATATATATATATATATATATATATATATATATATATATATATATATATATACATATATATATATATATATATATATATATATATATATATATATATATATATATATATATATATATATATATATATATATATATATATATGTATATATACGTATATATATATATATATATATATATATATATATATATATATATATATATATATATATATATATATATATATTATATATATATATAGATCGATACCATGCCTAACCCTTCTAGGGTAGGGTAGGTGCCTGAGTCCGAGCTTTTAGCTCATAAGACTGTCATTCCCATTTGCCCCCTTGAGGCGGGGATGGCAGACCAGAGAGGCCTAGCTTGTGGCTAGGCCTGGGGACAGTTGGTCCCAAAGATGAGGGGGTACTTGTGCCTCCTCCCATGGGAGACTTAGGTCTCAGACACTCCCTAAAGAGGGAGCCAAGGCTGGGCCACCACTTGGACAAGGCCCGGGCCGGGAGAATACCGGCTAATCTTTAACTAACTAACTAACTATATATATATATATATATATATATATATATATATATATATATATATATATATATATATATATATATATATTATATATATATATATATATATATATATATATATGTATATACGTATATATATACATGTATATATATATATATATATATATATATATATATATATATATATATATATATATATATATATATATATATACACACACAAAACAGTCACACACATACAAGAATGCCAAAGCAAAGAGAGGTCTCTGTTATACCCAGACAATACCACCAATCATCAACACTCCTACCACAAGGCTTTTCCCTAATCACCTCAACCACAAGGAAGGCGGACCTTGCTTGTGGGTTTTCCCTCATTCTCCTCTGCCTCTTGGTTCTTCTCCTTCGTCTGCTTCTGCTCAGGCTTTTGTTCCTCCTCCTCCTCCTCCTCCTCCTGTGCTACTCAGCTCCTGCTCTTGTTATGCTTATGTTCCTCTACACACACTCCTAGTCATGATTATGATTTCTCTTATGTTTATGTGCTACTGCTCTTGTTCCTCTGCTCCTGAGCTACTGCTCCTGCATGTACTTCTCGTTATTCTTCTTTTTTTCTTTACTGTTCCTGCACTTCGTCCTGTTCAGGATTTTTTTGCCTGCTGCTGGTGCTCTTGTTCCTGCTTCTGTTCGTGCTGTTGCTCATATGACCCGTCTCTGCTTCGTTGTCTCTGATTCTACGTCTGCTCCAAGTACTGCTGTTGCTTCTACTTATGTTTTTGTTCCATGAACTACTCCTGCTCCTGCTGCTGCTCCTGTGATTGTGGGTGGTGGTCCTGTGTCACCCTTGACCCTTTCCTCCTCTCCCTTACTCTCGCAAGGACCTTGACTCATCTCTCACCCTTTCCCCACTCCCACACCTGTTAACAGTTAGGGGAGGGCGTGAAAGATCAGATCTTCGTGACTCCCAGGAGAATCTTCCTTTCTTCTTCTCGATCCTTTTCTTTTTTCACAAAATTCGTATTTTATATATCTATACACGATCTTTACTTTTACTTATCTATTCATTTTATTAATCTTTTACATTTCTCTTATCTTGTTGCTACAGTAGTATGCATATTAATTGTGACAGTGGTGAAATATGGCTTTTATTTGGAAATTTAATGTTTATTTGAAAAATATACGGCAATGACATGACAGATAATTGATTTAATAAGTGATATGTATGACCCCCCTTTGCTTTTATAAGCATTGCTACACGCCATGGCATAGAAGCGACCAATGTTGAACACTTTTTGGCAAGTTCTCCGTCGTATTCAGGTCCTAATAACAGTATAAATTTGCTTCTCCAAATTGATACTGTTTGGCGACCCTGTGTTCGGTTATTGCCAATAGATTCTCAGTTGGGTTGAGGCTTTTTAACAAGCTAAGAACGCATTAACAAGCTAAGAACGCACATTATCACACTGATTACAAAATTTAGTAGTACGAAGGAATGTGCTGACCTTACTTTTAAAATGAGGTAGCTTTGTGCTATCTTTATCTTTATGTCTTTGATGAGTTTCATGAGTTCTTCTACTCCCGGAGCCCAGCCATAGGTCAGGTTCGTCTGGTGTTACATGTAAAAGGAAAAACTTTCGTTTTTCCTTTTAGGTCACCATGCGGCTGTGGGAGACGGCCGTTGCGTTAAATAAAATAAAATTCCAGTACGGCACATACATTAAATTTCATCAGAATGCAAGAAAATTAAGTCAAGCAACTTTAAAGCTAGCAATAAAAGTATATTAATATTGCAATGAATACACCCATTGAAATTCTGAAATGTTGTGTATTGGTCGACTTCTTTCAGGGAAAGCACTACCATGAAGTTTTTTTTTTTCGGCTAAATGGTTTTATTCTTTTCATAAACTGCCCAGCTCATAGTACATCCTCAAATCTTCCAAATACTCTTTATTTTTTCATTTCTATACATATTCCATACACTTGCTTAAGCGGCATTGTCCTTGAGACAGATCCGTATCATATCAGTTTTAATAGCCCAACTAATGCACATCTCTTATGAGCAAATTAAACATTTTTAATATATATAATATATATAATAATATATATAATATATATAATAATATATATAATATATATAATAATATATATAATATATATAATATATATAATAATATATATAATATTTATAATATATATATATAATGGTAATAATGGTTAGACTATTTGCAAGCCCTGCACAGTTGGCAAATATTAAGCATCAACATACAATGGAACTCACTCCTGTACAGAAAGTTCACTAATACGTTTCTCCTCGAATACGTCAAACCAGCTTCATATCACGAGGACACACACTTACTCTTTTGGCGTGGATGGAGCACAAGTTGGCCATTCCCAAAATGGTTACAATGTAACTTTCAGCTGCTTCTTGAAGGGCCATTAGAGCTAAAGTTTAGATCTTAATTCTTTTTCCTGCTCACTGAGGATCTCACGGACGAGAAAAGGGCAATTTGGGCACCAAGAGTTCTGCTCTCTGATAATGGCGAATTTCCTGCGAGGCAACTGTTCCAGGTCGGAATCTGTTCTTTCTCTTTTTTCTTAGAGCTGTTGCCACAGACAGCGAAAGACCTGCTCAGCCAACTGGTTTTCAGGAATGATTCAGCAGAAGAGTGCTGATCAGGAATGTCAAAAAATCATTAGTTTTGTGTATCTCACTTAATTTGCAAGGAGTTCTCATTCATATTTAAGCTTACAAGAAAAAAATCTTAGAATTTCCTATCACGTGTACTTTATTCAACCTGGTCAACTTTCAAGTTTTTCACACACATGAGTCACAGGGAACACCCATTTGACTGGTTTAATGCATACAAATTAACCTGATATAATTTATGGACTAAAAAGGTTTTTGGATTCATGGCTAATGAAGCATGATAAAACCTGTGCAACACATACAAATTATATAAATTGCCTTAATCTGTTTATCATTGCAAAAATCGCAAAGTCAGAACTAAGCTACCCCTTCTCCGGATAAAAAAAAAATCTGTATAAAAGTGTTTTTGTTTTACCGTGTCCTAGTCATCTAGCGAGTACTGCTACAGACGGTCAGTGTGATAACCATATGCCTTATGGCGAGTCACAGTAAAGCGACTACTGGTTTGCCGGTTAAACACGGTGGTTTGTATGGATATTATTACTGAGGTGTATATTTGGTGTAAAACATTTATTGAAAGAGGAATATGCTTAGATACTGCAGGCACCACAACGCTACAGTACCAGTACAGCGAGAAATTAAAACATCTGTATAACTGCATTCTTTATTTCTTCATGTCTTGGGTGGCAGTGTGGCAAAATTCCAGAATCGTATAGCAACAGTAATTAATGACTTGACAGCGAGAACAATCGTGTCTAGTTCAGAAGGATATACCACTATCTTCCCCACTTTACAGATAAAAACAATGACAGTGCCAAGCTCTTAGCCTATGCGAGCTTTTTATTTCATTTACCGTTAAATATAAAATACACTCCTTATTCCTTTGTTGCTTTAAGTAATTTGAAACCATCACTAACGTCATCATCTCGATCCCGCTGGGTATAATTTCATTGTGGGAACACTGGTCACCAAAAAGAGAGAAGACAATATTTTGTCAATTATTTTTACGAAGGCCATCATCTCACCGTAAAGACTCCTCCAGCAGCCACCAGTCTGCAACTGTAGCTACGAGCTGCCACCACTACACTACATAAGTCCCTACTGCTTGTTACTTATACTGTCATAACCATCCCTCATCCCCGCCACACGGACGCGCTACAGGCTACCATCCAGGAGCCTTAGTGAGTGCAGGCTTGCAGACGAAGTGTTCTGTTGGGCCGTACAGGAGACAGGTGTCGAAACAACATTTCTCAGTCGAGGCGCAAGAGTCGTCATTAGTGCACTTCTTGGGGTTCTTTAGAGGCTTGCTTGAGCACTTGTCGGTCAGGTTGGGGCAGAAGCCAGCGTGCACTGCTCGTGGGAGACACAAGGAAAGCGTTTCATGAGTGGAAGCAAGTCTGTTATAGGCCGTGAAACGTTTGTGAGAAAAGCTGCATCATACATATAAGATGTCAAACTTCTTACATGTATGACGCAGGTAAAGGGACACATGTACAACTGAATGAAATAATGATTCAGACGACATTTCGCCCACCAAGAACTTTATTTGAACAAAGCCATTGATGGACGAAACGTTACCTTAATAAATGTCTCAGTACATTGCATACGTGTCCATTAATTTATAAGAAAGTACCATGTGCTGGAGTCAATAGTTTGTGAAAAGATGCACCATGTGTGTTAGAGGGTGTTAAAGGTTTGTGGAAATTCCTGTACCACATGTGTTAGAAATGACTGTGTTTTTAAAACGGGCAGACAAGCTTCGTTAGAAAATTTGAAATATTTATAAGGGGCACAGTGTGTGTGCTAATGGATGTCCAACACTTGCGAGAAAAGGAATACTATAAGAATTTAAAGTCTGTGAGAAATTACATTCCTTACGAGTCAAAAGTAGACAAAATTTTGTAATACATGGAGCATGTGATAAAAGTGTCAAACTTTTGTGAAAGGAGAAACTCCATGGAAAATTTTATATATACAACACAGCAGGAAAGGTGTCACACATAGACAAGCCTGAACAATTACAGAAAAAATGACACACATAGACAAATATGAATGATCACAGGCAGGACACCACACACATAGAAGCCTAGATGATCACAGGAAGGATACCAAACAGAGACAAACCTGAATGATCACAGGAAGGATACCACACACAAAGAAGCCTGGATGATCACAGGAAAAATACCAAACAGAGACAAACCTGAATGATCACAGGAAGGATACCACACACAAAGAAGCCTGGATGATCACAGGAAAAATACCAAACAGAGACAAACCTGAATGATCACAGGAAGGATACCACACACAGACAAGCCTAGATGATCACAGGAATGGTGCCACACATAGACAAGCTTAGATGATCACAGGAAGGATGCCCCATATACAGACAAGCCTGAATGATCAGAGGAAGGATGCAACATACAGACAAGCCTGAATGATCACAGGAAGGATGCCACACACAGACAAGCCTAGATGATCAGAGGAAGGATGCAGTGAACAACAGACAGCACTTTCATATAACCTTCAGACTTACGTTCATTTCTAGTCTGAGACGATTTTAGGTTCTACTGAAGTACCACGACATTCACTAAACCTTACTATTACTGTCGTGTTGATGTGAACTATAACAAGTTTACCCAAGTTAATATATGAAAGTTGATATGAGAAAATTGGTATAAAAAAAGAAATATGTAAAGAGGATAATTTGCAAGTAAAGTCAGTCAAAAAAAAGTGTATAAATACCAGTTTACAATGATAAATAAAGTTAGCTAACTAAACTCAGCTAACTGGCTTAAGGATTGTGAATAGCGATTGTTTTTAATATTGAGAAAGAAAATAACAGCAACACTATCATTAATGACATATACATTAATTATAATTATTATAATTATTATTATTATTATTATTATTATTATTATTATTATTATTATTATTATTATTATTATTATTATTATTATTATTATTATTATTATTATTATTATGATTGGCTATAAACAAGAAGCATCATAAAGAACACCTGTAATATATAACTCACCTGATCCGCCGGAAGTGAAGGAGCCAGAGGACACAAATGATGAAGAGAAGGCTTGACTGCTGAAGCCAGAAGAAGAGTGGCTCTGAGATGTACCAGATATCCGGTTCGCAGGACCACCAGCACTGAATCCGCTGACGAAATGGCCAGCTGCTCCTTTGAAACCACTGGTTCCATGGCCTCCAGCGCCTCCAAGACCACCGCTAGAACCAGCACCAAAACCTGTACCAGCAGTACCACCGAGGCCAGTACCAGCACCACCCTGGCCTCTAAAACCAGCACTATCATGGGATCCAAAGCCAATACCAGTACCCCCAAGGCTGCCAAAACCTGTACCAGCACCACCAGTGCCAGAACCAGAGCCAATACCAGCACCACCAAAACCAGAATCAGAACCGGTACCAGCACCACCAAAACCAGAACCACCATGAGTTCCAAAGCCAGTACCACTCCCAGTGGATGTGAATTTACTACTTACATGAGTAGAACCTCTAGAACCAACTACACTAGGACTTCCATGGGCTCCAAAACTAGTACCAGTACCAAAGCCAGCATCAGCACCAGAACCAGTACCATGACCGGCACCAGCACCAAAAGTAGCACCATGGCCAGCACCTGTACCAGCACCAAAACTAGAACCGGAACCTGTGCCAGCACCAAAGCTAGAGCCAGCTCCAGTACCTGTACCGGCACCAGAGCCAAAACCAGAACCAGCACTAGAAGTAAAACCAGAGCCAGAACCAGCAGCAGAACCAGAACCAGCACCATAACTTGGACCAGTGGCAGCGCCAGAACCACTTGGCCGACCATGAGCCCCGAATCCGGCACCCGAACCAGCACCAACCCTAGTGAAAGTAAACTTACTACCTGCGTGGGTCGTAGAACCACTGGAACCGGGCCCATGAGCTCCAAATCCGGCGCCAGAACCAGCACCAATAGCTCCAGTACCAAAACTAGAACCAGCACCTGTACCAGCACCAAAAGTAGTACCAGTCTTCGTAGAAGTTAATTGGGTCCTCACATGACCAGTAGAACCACTAGAACCAGGTCCATGAGTCCCAAATCCGGCACCCGACACAGATCCAATGCTATCTCTAGTGCCAGCACCAGTACCAAAACTAGAACCGGCAGTAGTGCCAGCCCCAGCACCTGTACCAGTACCAAAACTAGAACCAGTTCCAATACCCGCACCAAACCTAGAGCCGGTACTAGAACCAGAGCCATAACCAGCACCAGTACCACTAACAGTCCTGGTGGAAGCAAATTCGGCACCAGAACCAGATCCACTGCTATCCCTAGTGCCAGCACCAGTACCAGCACCAAAACTAGAACTGGCACCAGTACCTGCCCCAGTACCTGCACCAGCACCAAAACTAGAACCAGCACGAGTGCCAGCCCCAGTACCTACACCAGCACCAAGACTAGAACCAGTAACATCACCAGTGCTAGCTCTAGTACCTGCACCAGCACCAAAACTAGAACCAGTACCAGCACCAAAACTAGAACTAGAACCAGTGCCAGCCCTAGTACCTGCACGAGCACCAAAACCGGACCCAGCACCACTGCCAGCCCCAGTACCAGTACCAGCACCAAAACGAGCACCAGTGCCAGCCCCGGTACCAGCACCAAAACGAGCACCAGTGCCAGCCCCGGTACCAGCACCAGTACCAGCTCGAGTACCTGCATCAGCACCAAAACTAGAACCAGCACCAGTGCCAGCACCGGTACCAGTACCAAAACCAGCCCCAGTGCCAGCCCCAGTACCAGCACCAAAACCAGCACCAGTACCAGCCCGAGTACCTGCACCAGCACCATAACTAGAACTAGTACCAGTGCCAGCCCCGGTACCAGCACCAGTACCAGCTCGAGTACCTGTATCAGCACCAAAACTAGAACCAGCACCAGTGCTAGCACCGGTACCAGTACCAAAACCAGCCCCAGTGCCAGCCCCAGTACCAGCACCAAAACCAGCACCAGTACCAGCCCGAGAACCTGCACCAGCACCATAACTAGAACCAGTACCAGTGCCAGCCCCGGTACCAGTACCAAAACCAGCACCAGTGCCAGCCCCAGTACCAGCACCAAAACCAGCACCAGTACCAGCCCGAGTACCTGCACCAGCACCAAAACTAGAACCAGCACCAGTGCCAGCCCCGGTACCAGTACCAGTACCAGTACCAAAACCAGCACCAATGCCAGCCCCAGTACCAGCACCAAAACCAGTACCAGTACCAGCCCGAGTACCTGCACCAGCACCAGCACCAAAACTAGAGCCAGCACCAGTGCCAGCCCCAGTACCAGCGCCAAAACCAGTACCAGCTCGAGTACCTACACTAGCACCAAAACTAGAACCAGCACCAGCGCCAGCCCCGGTACCAGTTCCAGCACCAAAACCAGCACCAGTGCCAGCCCCAATACCAGCGCCAAAACTAGCACCAGTACCAGCCCGAGTACCTGTACCAGCACCAAAACTAGAACCAGTACCAGCACCATAACTAGAACTAGCACCATTGCCAGCCCTAGTACCTGCACCAGCACCAAAACTAGAACCAGTACCAGCGCCAAAACCAGTGCCAGCTCTAGTGCCTGCCCCAGCACCAAAACTTGAACCAGCATCAGTGCCAGCCCCGGTACCAGTACCAGCACCAAAACCAGCACCAGTGCCAGTCCCAGTACCAGCGCCAAAACCAGCACCAGTGCCAGCTCTAGTACCTGCACCAGCACCAAAACTTGAGCCAGTACCAGTGCCAGCCCCAGCACCAGTACCAGCCCGAGTATCTGCACCAACACCATAACCAGAACCAGCACCAGTACCAGCCCGAGTACCTGCACCAGCACCAAAACCAGAACCAGCACCAGTACCAGCACCAGTGCCAGCTCCAGTACCTGCACCAGCACCAAAACTAGAACCAGCACCAGTACCAGCCCCAGTACCAGCACCAAAACCAGCACCAGTGCCTGCACCAGCACCAAACCTAGAACCGGCACCAGTACCAGCTCCAGTACCCGCACCAGCACCAGTACCAGTCCCAGTACCAGCACCAAAACCAGCACCAGTGCCTGCACCAGCACCAAACCTAGAACCGGCACCAGTACCAGCTCCAGTACCCGCACCAGCACCAAAACTAGAACCAGTACCAGCACCAAAACCGGCTCCAGTCTTCGTTGAAGTGAACTTACTTACATGGCCTGTAGAACCACTTGAACCGGGTCCATGAGCTCCAAATCCTGCGCCAGAACCAGCACCAATGCCTGCAGGAGAACCTCCACCAAAACCAACGCTAGAACTAGCTCCAGTACCAAAACCAGTACCGAATGAAGCACCAGTACTTACACCAGCACCGAATTTAGAACTAGTACCAGTACCAGCACCAGTACCAGAACCGAATCCAGCACCGAACCTAGAACCAGTACCAGAACTAGCACCGAATATGGAGCTAGAGCCAGTACCAGAACCGAACCCAGCACCAGAACCAGTACCAGAGCCATCCCGAGTACTAGCACCAGTACCGTATCCGGCACCAGTACCAGTACCAGCACTTACGCCAGCCCCAAATCCAACACCAGTACCAGCACCAGTTCCAGCACCAAATCCGGTACCAGAACCAGCCCCCGCACTAGCACCATAACCAGCACCGGCTCCAAATCGTGCACCGGAACCCGTACTGGAACTAGCACCAGCGCCGAATCTGGAACTTGTACCTGTACTAATACCTGAACCGACTCCAGTACCGGCTCCAGTACTAGCGCCGAACCCGGTACCAGGACTTCCAGAGCCAGTTTCTGAACCCTTAGTGAAAGAAAATTTACTACTGGAGCTCTGGAAACTCGTTCCAGAACCAGGGGATCCAAATCCCGTTCTCTGTGCTCCAAATCCTGGTTTGTGATCGCTGGTGAAAGCACCAGTTGAGAACTTGGTACTGGGTCCCGCTGATAAAGATCCATGGGTGGTATCAGACGAAAATTTGCTCCCAGAACTATGAGTTGAACTAGCTGAGGATCCGAGTCCAGAACCAGGAGCACCGAAAGAAGATCCTATTCCAGAGCTGGAGGATCCAGTTCTTAAACCAACAGAGGATGATAACCCACTTCCAGAAAAGCCAGATCCACTTCCAGGCCTTCCTCCTATTCCAGATGTTCCACTTTCGAATTTTCCAGATCCTGGTGAACCAGACGAAGTTTTATATGAGGATGAAGAGTATCTACTTCCAGATGTTGTGGACCCTCTTCCAGGACTTCCACGAGACGAGAAACTACTTCCAGAACTACCTGCACTACCGGGAGAGCCAGAAGAACCAAATGAACTTGTAGGCTTGGAAAGGCCAGCCGCCGCTCCATGCGCACCGAAGGGGGATCCACTCCCTGTACCTCCAGACCGAGTTGCAGCCAGAGGCCCTTGTGCGGCCCCAGTGACTGAACTGACCCCAGTGCCTTGTGACGAAAAGGAGCCAGAGTGGAAAGAGCCACTGGTTTCAGGACTTCCGCTACCTTTCTTAACTCTGTAAAAGCAAGAATTTCTCTATAAACAGAATTTTACAGTTTCCTAGATGACTGTAAATATATAAAGAACGAAAGATATAATTATTTGCATATTCCGTTTTAAATATATTTCAGAACTGCAATACGTAGGCATCCCCTTATGCTGCCTTCGGAAGAATAAAATATTTATACACACGAAAACATAAAACACAAAGAGTGGAGTAATTCCCAACTAACCCACTGATTAGAAAAGAAAACTAGATACTGTTTTTGCATGTTCTTGACCATTATCAAGCCAATGCTGGATAGCTGTCAAGACTAGCCGAAAAGTTGAGTTTTTACACCATTTGCGAGCTACCAGTTAATTAGAGAGACATGACAATGATGTGCTGCTAGACACGACCGTATCACAGGACTTACCCGGCGAAGGATGTGAAAGTACCACTGAAAGCAGACCCAGGAGCACCGTGACCAACCCCAGGCCTTCCTGCACTCCCAGGAGAACCTGAAGCACCAAATGGACTTGCAGGTTTGGAAAGGCCAGCCGCTGCTCCACGCGCACCGAAGGGAGATCCACTCCCTGTACCTCCAGAGCGAGTTGCAGCACCAGTGACTGAACTGTCCCCACTAGTGCCTTGTGACGAGGTGAAAGAGCCAGAATGGAAAGAGCCACTGGTTCCATGGCTTTCGCTGTCTTTCTTAACTCTGTATAAGCAAGAATTTCTCTATAAGCATAGAACTGATAAACAGTATTGTACATTTTCCTACATGAATGTAAATATATTATATAAAACACAAAAGATATAATTATTTGCATATTTCATTTTAAATGTGTTTTAGAATTGCAATACAAAAGGCTTCCTATTGCTGCCTTCTGCAGCATAAAATATTTATACACAAAAAAACATAAAACACAATGAATGGAGTAATTTCCAACTAACCCACTGATTGGAAAAAAAACTGGATGCTGTTTCGGCATGTTCTGGACCATTATCAAGCCACTGCTTGATAGCTGTCAAGACTGGTCGAAACGTCGTCGAGATTTTATATCATTTGTGAGCTACCAGTGAGTTATAGTCGTGAGACAATGAGGTGCTGCAAGACACCACCGTATCACAGGACTTACCCGGCGAAAGATGTGAAAGTACCACTCAAAACCGACCCAGGAGCACCCTGACCAGTCCCAGGCCTTCCTGCGCTCCCAGGAGAACCTGAAGCACCAAATGGACTTGCAGGCTTGGAAAAGCCAGCCGATGATCCATGCGCACCAAAGGAGGATCCACTCCCTGTACCTCCCGACCGAGTTGCAGCCAGAGGCCCTTGTGCGGTCGCAGTGACCGCGCCGCCCACACCAGTGCCTTGTGACGAGGTGTAGGAACCAGACTGGAAGGAGCCTCTGGAGCTATGGCTTCCACTTCCCTTTCTAAATCTGTATGCAAAATCCAAAATTCTTGTATAATCATGAACGCAATACACAGCGCTTTACTGTTTCTTGGGTTACTGTGAATATATTTTGTATATTTAGCACTAAGATACTGTATAATGAATTGAATAATTAGTCTAAATACCTTTTAAATTATTATGCAGATTCCGTATCGTTATCATTTGAAGGTAACTATACCATTATATACATAAAGAATCAAACTCACAAAACAGTGACTGGAATAATTCCCAACTAATCCACCGATTCGAGGTAAAAACTGGACGAATTTTCATTATGAAGTCACTCGCGAATTGTTAGTAGTCAAGACGGCCCGAAGCGTCGCCCAGATTTTATTTCCATTTGTGAGGTAGCTGTGACTTGTAGAGATATGACACTGAGGTAAGACACTAATGTTCCATGGGGCTTACCCAGCGAAGGATGTGAAAGAACCTCCCAAAGACGACCCAGCAGTGCCCTGACCAACTCCGCCAGGAACTCCCGGTGCAGACCCACTGTGAACGACCGACGTCTGGAAGGCCGCTCCCTGGACTCCACCTCCAGGTTTTGATTTAGAAGGTGAACCGAATCTGAGGAAATAGGTGTGGTTATTGGCCCGTGGTGTAGGTGAAAGCTTCTTTCCTACAAATATACCCCAGGAACTCGAAGAGCAGCCACTTCCACTTGGTAAGTCCTGGGTATTTTAATTAACTGTAGGTAATCAGTCAGAATAAATGAGGGCTGCTCATTGTATATGTTGTCTGTCTCTGGACAAAATATACCTATATGTAACCAAATTTAATTGAATCACACTCATTGCACACCAGGGAATATAATAAATATACAAATATATATTCTGGATTCCAGGTTATTTATACACTGATTAATTTTAACATTAAATAAGAGAAACGAAGACTCACCCAGCGAAGGAGGTGTGTGTTCCTCCTGAAGGAAGCGGAGCTACGAAGAAGCTGCCCACCGGAGTCTTGCTGCCCGGGCCACCACTGTCTGGGTCACAGTCGCAATCTGCAGACTTCCCCAAGTGGTCTAACTTGGCGGCTGAGCTCAGACCCAACACCGCCCACGCTGTCACCACTACCACCACCCACGCCCCCACAACACGCACTGCAGGAACAACGTGAGTTAGTGCAAGCGAGTAAGGCCTCAGAGAAGTGGCAAGAGGTCATGCCAAGTACATGGAGATTATGACTTTAAGATGCTTTCTTCCCAAAGGGTCACACCCGAAGAGAACATTTTCCCTAAAGGTCACACTTAAGAGTTCAGTTTCCTAACGCGTTACACCTCAAGAGATTGTGTATAAGGACAAAGAGACAACTCAGATCATGTACAGAAAATATCTAACCACAGATTGTAACATACCATGTTTATTGCCACAAACCTACATATAAACAATAAAACAGCAGATATGGCAAGAACTCTCTTTTCATCAGAGTGCTGAAGAGGGGCTCAGTGGTAGAACGAAATGTACAGTAATCATTTTTATTTTATTTCCTCCATGTGGGTTCACTTGTGTAACGCAAAAACGAATTTCAAATATTGCTACTCATCCGAAAATGTTTTCCGATGCCAAGGAAAGACTCACCTATCCCTGATATCACTGACTCACATATCCATCGTAACCATGAGGTTCATCTATCCCTGGCAGGATAAGTGGCACGATTCTTATCCACACTGTTAGAGCTGTTCATATTTTTTTGTT